TCAGAGTTATTTTTCTCCTGGGAACCCCAAGCAGCGCCACCTGAGTCAGTTCCCGAGCTACTTTTGTTCTTAGCACCCCAATTAGTAGCACCCCAAGCAGGACCTGACTCGGTTTCAGGGTTCTTTATCTCCTGGGAACCCCAAGCAGCGCTACCTGAGTCAGTTCCCGAGCTACTTTTATTCTTAGCACCCCAATTACCCCAAGCAGGACCTGACTCGGTTTCAGAGTTCTTTTTCTCCAGGGAACCCCAAGCAGAGCCACCTGATTCAGTTTCTGAGCTCTTCTTGTCCCAAGAACTCCATGCAGCAGGAGCTAATTCAGTTTCTTTCATCATTTTGTCCTGGGAACCCCATGCAGCAGCATCTTGAGCATCTTTTTTAGTGTTCCAACTAGACGAACCATCTTCGTTGTCAACAACTGTAGTCTTTCCCCAATCAGACTGAGGGTTTTCTTCACCACCTGTATTTTTTGAAACTCCCCATTCTGAGCCACCACCGCAACCATTGTCCCACACGGAATTTTTGTCCCATTTGGATTCCGAAGGCTTGCCTTCATCATCTATATTTTGGAACTCAGCACTGTCCTCAAACTTGAGCTCTCCAAGAGCAGAGTCTCGCTCAGGCGATTCAGCCCATTCAGCCATTTCTTCCTCTGTAACATCAAAACCAGGAGAAGAAACATATGCATTTGCATTTGTCGTGGTGGATCTGACCATTTGGAGAAAGCTGTACACATCTGTTTCATCTTCATTATCTAGACCAGTCTGCAAATAGGTTGACCATAAAGAACATGAGATTGCAGAATGAATGAGCTTATATGAGACAAACTAAGTTAAATTGGCCTAATTTTGAGAGAATGTGTACCTCTTTTTCGTTCCAGAGGAGCTCAAACTGTGAACCTGTTCCCACATCCACACGTTTTCCCCAAGAACAAGAGCCAACAACTGTTGCCAGAGAATCTGTATGGCATTTCTCAGCTGCTTTCTCAAAACATTTCCTTGGTGTCTAAAAACACAACAAGTAATTCCTGTTAATATGGACTGACAGTATATAGTCTTAGAAAAGAATTGTATTAGACATTAAAGTACCGGACTACTTACGATGAGAGTTGCTTCTGTGAATGGAGCCTTGATGTTCAAGGATCGTGTCAAAGCCTTGTAACCTCCAGAATTGAACCCCAACATATTCCCTGAACAGGTCATGTTGTTTGCCAGGAGAATGATATGTTCTTTCAAAACTCCTTTGGATACCTTTCTCACTGAAGTTGAGAGACGCTGCAAATCAAATCAACATTTTACATTTAACTTCCTTACATTAACAATGAGCAAAATGATACCAAACATAATATATGACAGAAGTATCATGATTTAAGTATAAGATCCAGTGCACAGATAGGGTTTAAAGTGAGTACCTGAACTGCTTGCTCAAAAGCACAGGATAGGCCAAGCAACTCTTGCACTTGCTTTATAGCATATGGGATTGAACGTTTGGTGTCTATCAGATGAAGCACTGAAAGACAAGAGTCTATCACAACCCTCCATGCATCACCGCTTTGCTTGACAGCAGATTTCTCGACGGTGACATCCAAAACCCATTCCCCTCGGCGGGAGGCATGACGATTCCGGATCCAGGTTGTCATTTCTGGACTATTCCAGATTATATTTGCTGAGCAAATACGTGGATCACCTGCCCAGTTTAGATACACAAGTATCATCAAAAACATTTTTCTAGAAATCTTACTGTAACATAGGGCTTTATAGTACAGAATATCAACCACAACTTGGAGGACAAATCATTTAGACTAGTTGAGGAAAAGCTTTTAGTTCTTTAACCTTCAGACAAATATACATTTTCGCAAGCCAGCTAACTAGAAAGATTTGAAAGGAAGACTATCATATACACTACACCCTCATCAAAATAAGAAATCAAGAAACAAGAGGAGTTGACAAAAATGAAAAGCGTTATCCAAGTACCTTTGATCACTGTTTCTAGCAGAACAGGATATATTGTATTGCAAAGAACATCAAGAGTTCTTTCTAGATCAGGATCAGTGGCATTGTAGGAGGAGAACGTTAAGCAGGGCATATCCGAATCTTTGCTCGCACATGGATCTCGGAAAGAGCAGCACTCACTGTTCATTTGAGAAGAAAGTATTATAATCAGACAACAAAATTCAAGAAGCTAGACAATTAGACATAATAATCCGATGAACAAAAATGATGGACAGAAAAGAACTAGAAGCTAAAAATAACCATCAGACTTTCTTTCTGAAGAAATTCTGCAGTTCATTCAACCAGAGAAGACATACAGATAAAGGCGAATCATGTACAAACCTTACAGACAAAGTCGTTCTCTTCAAGTCATCAGCTTTCTTCTTTTTCTTTTGTCCTAGTGAATTAATGACATCCTCACACTTTTGAAGTATATCCTGCATACTGATGTTCCACTCTTCCAGCAATGTCTAGTAAACACCAATTACAAGCAAGAATTAAAAGGATAATTAGGAGTAAAGTATTTCTATGACAGGTAGAGGCTTCTAGATAGATTCAACAGTACAGAAATCAGAATTCAAACCTTATTAAGATGAATATGTCCTTGTAGGCATGAATCATTTCCAAAAATTTCAGAAATTGCTTGTTGCTTTCTGTATCTGCATGCAATTAAAGAGAAAGCAGATTGCTAAGGATTGGTAAAAGCAAAAAAAAAACACAAAGACTAAAAAGAGCAACATAAGTTACTAAAAACCAATACTTACTCGACTAGGAACTCCACTGCAGTATCTTTAAGACTCACTCTCTTCAGCTTGTTCCTAACTGTGTAAGCCGCATTTTCCTGGCAGTACTTTTTTCCACAGCGGCATTCATTCAAATACAGAATTACGCGTCGATCGTTGACAGTGTTTTGGAAGTTGACTTTGCAGAGCAAAACTTCCTGGAAAAAGGACAAAAAGATAAACATTATTAGCATACAACAATATATAAGATCAAAGCTTTCCTGAGGAGGCAGTAACGAGAATGCTCTACCTTCATTTGCTCCCATGATGAATTACTACTTGCACTAGAATCAAGCACTGCCTTATAGGCAGGATTTGACATGGCGGTAGCTGCCAATACTCCAACAGGTTCTCCCGCTTCAAACAGACCTTGATGTCCATGTTCAGAATTCAGATCATACTTGAACTGCACTACCGAGTTACTGCATGTATTTCTTACAGTTCCATCGTTAGTAATTACTATATCCCGAAGAACAGCCATCAGATTCTTGAAGAGTGTCCCAGGCTCAGCTAACCCTCTTGAAGAGCGAACAATGACCTCCCTGGCAGCAATTGAATGAGCCATCTCTTCATAGGGATCCAGTCCATGAAAGAAGCAGCCCTTCACAATTCCAAAATCACCAGATGAAGAAATCCTGCCATACTTTCTCTTACAAAATTGAGCCATGTCTTCCACCAGAGTCTTCGTGTAGAACTTCTTCTTGTCAGAAAGCTGAAGACCCAGGAAGCCTATCTGCTGCACCAGCTTGTTGATTGCTGAGTTACTCTTGATATCAATCAAGTTGCGCATGGAATACGACTTCAGCATAAAGTTAGCAGCCACTTCCTTCACTTTGTGGATGCTGTTCTCTAGTTGCAACTCATCTTCATACGATAGTCTCAAGCGAGACACCATAGGAGAAATCTCTCGGATTATCAGATTGTGGATGACATCCATGTCTGCCCTAGACATGGATAAGTCTTCCAGACTTACACTAAACCCCTCAGCATAGAGGTGCTCCATCAGTAGAGGCTGCAGCGAATCAAAGAAGCCAAGTGCTTCCTTTGGACCCTTCTCCGACAAGATTGAAGTTACAATCTCGTTGAGGACAGATGCCATTGCATCAACCCCAAAATCAAAGCAAAGCAGGTCACTTCCATCAACCATGAACCTTTCCCCTTTGCAGCTCAGACGCTCAGGAAAGGCAAGCTGTAGAATCTGGAAAGCTGTCCAAAGCGGGCCAGATTTACTGGACTTTCTTAGTGCTGGTGAAGGCAGGGAGAGAGAGCCGTACATAGCTAACTGTTGAGCAGTTGCCTTGTCCAGAAACACATTCTCCATCATAACCCTCAAAGACAGCAAAGAATCATTGCCCATCTGTAAGATCAGCTGCCCAGTATGCGAGCTAAGCAGTTGCTTATCCACGGAAAAAAGTTCCATAACCTCTGCCTTAGCGCTAAGTGATTGTGGATAGAACAGATGGACACAATCACCATCAAAATCAGCACTGAGGGGGCCACACATCAGAGGGTTAATCTTCACTGTGTTGTCATCATGAACATACACCCGAAGCGCTTGCAGAGAATGTTTATGTGTTGTCGGGGGTCGGTTTATAAACACAACATCCCCATCCATGACCCTGCGATGAACAACCTGCCCGGGTTTAAGCACAGTGTGCCCCTTGGAACCATCCCTTAGAGAATAGGTCGTAGAACCTTGAGTATAACTTAAGCACAACTTGTTGTCCACCAACTCTTGTAGATAACCTATATTGTGGACACTAACCCTTTCCTCAAATGTTATTCGCTGCGCAATTTCGATTGGGATCCCTACCTCATTCACATTTCTGTAAGCATCCCCAGTGATGACGCTGCGAGACGAAAAACCTGACCCCTTTCGAATGAAGAGTGTTCTCATCTTTTCTGTCCAAGCTTTTGAAGAGGAACTGTCTGAGATCTTAGTCACTCCATACCTCATGTCAATGTTTCTTGCTGCTTTCGCAGTTCCCCTCACCCGCAGATAAGTATCCACAACTCTAAACATGTCATTGGCTTCAGCCTTATGCGACTCAAAGTTTGTCTCACCAGACCTAGAACTTCTTATGGCTACCACTTTCTTAAGAACATCTTTTAGCTCAATCCTGGAAGGATCCTGAAAATAAGAATGACATAGATGCAGGTGTTATCTTCTAAAGATAAGTCAAAGCATTCAACATACTCAACACAGGAATTTAGTTTCAACTAGCTTACCGCCGACATGGTGGTGAAACCATCAGAAACATCTGGCACTGACAAACAGTTAGGCGGGACTGGAAGATATTCTAATATGTATCCTTCTTGAGGAATATGTCCCTTTGCTGTGAGTTTCTTTCTTGTTTCTTCGGGGATCCGTCTTAAAATTTCCTTTACCTGTTTGTTTTAGCAAATGGAAATGGATAAGGAAAGAACATAATCAGTGGTTTCCAGAAACAAAACATCACCAAAAATAAAGAATGATTTCAAATAAAAAAAAACCAAGGTAAGAACACCTTTAACCTTCAAATCCTACAAGATCCAGTAAACTATATGATCACATAACATGAGCCATGGCGCCTTGCAGAGACTTACAAAGGTATATTCATTGCTTCTTTTTCTCAAATATTCGCACACGAATTCAAAACTATACTTACTTAACTTAGCATGCTTCTAACCAACGATGTTAACTAATCTGAATAAGAAACCTTAAGTATACCAAAAACTTGAATTTATAGAGAAATCCTCACAAATGATTTTGCATGTTATGTATAACAACAAAACAAATTATCTTTAAGGGAACAAATAAACTTTCTACAACAGAAACAGAAACATAAGCATGCAGAAGAAAGTAAAAACCTCTCTTGCCAGCAGAGGCCGCTTATAATCGCTTCCATAGCGATAACCATATCTTTCCAGGAAATTCCAGCAACCCGCCTCCAGTCTTGACCTAGATGGGAGCTTCAGTTCTAGATATGAAGCACCATCCGATGCTCTATCTCTGATTGAGATGTTCGATGCTTCCTAACATAGTAATTCAGTAGTTAAAAAGTCCAAGAATATCAGCAAAATATCATCCGAAAACACATATAAGCAGTGAATGTTCCATGGTGTCACGAGAATACCATAACTCTTCACAAAGCATTGATTAATGTTATCATTCAATGAATCAACAGACGCTCAATAACTATTCTAGATTTGAATTAGAACGTTTTCAAACATGCAACTAGTTGACTAAATGTTGAACCAGGGTCCCATAAGAAACATCTATCATCTTGCTTTCCAGGTAGAAGGAAACAATCAGAATGTATATGGCATTACTCACCTCACAGCAGACACCTAATAAACGATCCACAAGACCACCAGTTGTGCTTGTGCTCTGTAAATCAGAAAGGTGAAAAAGATTGGTCGAGATTTTATATGGTTTATGAATTATGATAAGATTCTATCAAATTATATGTGTGGATCACCAATAAGATCGAATTTAAGAAAACTCAATGAAGTAATACCTTAGCCTTCTTTATCTTCAGACATTTCAAGCACAGAAGGCTCAGCATTTGTTTCAGCTCACCAACATGGGCAGGATGGTAGATTGGCACTGGCAGCTGAAGATACCCGAAATGACCTGAACATGTAGAAACAAAGATTGTTATCTGAAAAAGATATACCAACAAACAATGTAAGAACAAATTATATAGGAAAAACAGGGAACAGGTTTACCTTCACACTTGTCTGGTTCTGTCGCACCGCAAGATTCACATTTCCCAAACTCCAGAGGCAACCCCAAGAATGGGTTAGACAGCTGACTGGCATGATTGATCGGAGATTCACTAATCGACGCGATTTGCTACAAGAAAAAAATATATCCCCATGAGAAATACAAGAATGGCTAGAGGATATATAACAGAACTGAATTTATATGCAAAAGCGCAGGACTTCGGTTTCAGCATTATATAGAGCTGAGTATATTTATACTGAAAATCAAGCAAGTACCAAACTTAAGCAAAGCAGAGAGGCTTTAGGCTATTTGTAATCATTACTTCTCTTGTAGAACTCATGATGAAAACTAGCTTTGAGCTAAACAAAGCCTTACATGCAACTTTTGATAAACCATGGAACCACATTCAGAGAGTATAACTCTTGTTAAACTTACGATTTCATGGTGAGTTGCAAGAGCGAATTTGATTCCAACAATCTCTCCTTCGAGAATTTCTGATGAAGATTCTTCCTCCATGACAAAACCCTAAACACCAGACAACAACGAAACCTTGTTAGCACTTAGCAGATAACGAAACTAACATATAAACGGTGACTATTAGAGCTCACTAACTTGAGAAAAACCCAGAAATTTCTCAAGAAAAAACCCAGCTTTTGAAAAAGTTGAAGTGTCAGAAAAACAGTAAAAGGAACAATTTTTCAGGTCGTATCCACAAAATCGACACCAGTAAACACACAATCAAGCGAAAATAACCTAAATTTCAAACCTACATTTGAAACCCAGTACGGAGAAAAACCCCAGAAACACGATGGTCGAGATTTCGTCTCGGGAAAACAGGTATAATAGAGTTGGGTTTGACGAAATACCTAAGAATCGGCGGAAAATCGAGCGACCCGTTTGATTCCTGAGACCGTAGACGGAAACGAAACAACCGGAAAAGCAAGGGTTTTTGAAGGTGAAAAGAGGGAGAATCTAGAGTGAGAGAAGAGTGAGAGCGAAGCGAAAATGGCGGACTTCTCTTAAA